ACGACTTTCTCTAATTTTGTCCGTCACAGAAGCTACACCAACCCTATCACGGATATATTTATTTCACATTTTGTCTCTAAGTGTAAAGCCACTCATCCACCTAATCATTGTCATCTCGGCAACACTTAACTTATTATTATGCTTCTCTTTTAAAGGCCAACATTCAGCGCCATAGAGCATTGCAGGTCTCACCACCGTGTTATAAAATTTTCCTTTCAGTCTAAGCGGTACTTTTCTATCACACAAAAGGCCCGAAGCATTCCTCCACTTCAACCAACCAACTTGAATTCTACTATTAACATCCCCATATATATTACCATCGCTTTGAACAATGGACCCAAGATATCTAAATCGTTCACACCTTTTAATAATTTGATCACCCAAACTCACACCTTCAAATAATTGTGATGATAAAAGAAAAATGCTTTATGTATTAGAGGATTGGAAGGATTACAAAAGTCTGCATTTTGCGTTGTTCTACTTGCAAACAAATTGTTGTTAGTTTGATTCTTATATTACCTGTTTGATTATAACTGAACTTATTATGGATGAATCCCTTGAAGATCCTTGAATCTGTTTTAATAATTAGTTTTGAGAGCAACTACTTGGAAGAGGGTAAACATTGCAGTTTCGCTTGGTGTTTTGCATGCTTTAGTGAAATGTACACTGAAAAATGGCAAAGCTCAGAACAATAAGATTTATCTCAAATATTTTTTTCTGGAAGCCACAATATTATTGTCATTTTAATCCTATGACGAGGAGATAAAGATGTGTATTGTAATGATTATAGAGAATGAGAGACAGGTCGGTAGAGCTAAGTTTAAAACCCCGAAGGAGGGGATGGGTGCAAAATGTGGAATACCATTGACTGGGAGGTTGCTTGAGGCCACAGAGGGCTTTTTTAGATGACAAACATGATGTGGGTACTAGGGATCAATGAAGTTGGGTGGTTGTGCCTTGTAGATGATTTTATTGAGTTTTATTATCACGTTGTTGGAAGGGCTAATTATGATGAGCCACAATGGCGAGGATACATGTGGTGGGGAGTTTAGCAACCATACTGAAAGTTTCATGGTAGTAAATGCCTTTTTGTTCTTTGTAGCCTTAGGCCACAAGATGAGCTTTATAACGGACGATTGTGCCATCTAAGTTGTACTTGGTTTCTTATGTTCATTTGCATTCGAGGGTGTTATGATGAGGTGGGGGAGGGATGAGTGTTCAGATGCCTTGTTGTTGAAAAATTAAGAATTTTGCGGACATGGCTTAAGACCAATGTGGATGCTAGATTTCTCGAGTGCATCATTGGTGGTTTAATGTGGAGAGGTGGTGGTGAGATCAAAAATTTGTTTTGGTTTGAGTAAAACTGGGTTTTGAGTTGGTTATCATGGGATGGATAGATGGAGCAGTGGTTGGGTTGGGCTGAGTCGGAGTAGTAGGCGATGGAATAATGGAGGGAGTTTGAATTAGTATGGATGTGGTTTTTGTATTGAAGGGAGAGATTGGAGAGGTTATGTTGGGGGACTGGGGTTTTGGAGAAGTTAATGCCATTTATGAGGCTGTTACTAGAATTTTGCTTAGTGATTTGAGGTGGGGTTTGAAATGGTGTGGACTTCTCTATGGGTTTTTCCATGAAGAAGAACTCCTTGGTTGCTTGATCTTATATTTAGAAACTATAGTCATCGAATGTAGTCGACAATTTGTTGTCTTAGGCTCGGTGAATAGAGATGAGATTTTAAGATAGGGTAAGAACATGAAGGAGAGGTGAGAGAGTGAGCTTATGGGTGGGGGTAGGAAGGATTTCTTTGCCTATGTGGATGATACATGTTATTTGTCCATTGTGAAGGAGAGGTGAGAGAGTGAGAGAGTGAGAGAGTGAGAGAGTGAGCTTACCAGAGTAGGTAGTAGGATGTTGATGATTTTCGAGAAAAGGAATTAGGTGTGAGTAGGCACGAGAGTCAAGAATCCAATCATGCGCAGGAGATTGAGTGGCTGAGAGCAGATCATTATGCGTGGTTGGAGGGGTTGTTGTGGTTTGTACTGAAGATCAGTAGCTATGTGACCAATATTATGAGAGATTTCGCAGGTTATTGAAGGGCAACCTTTGGTGAAATTGGCAGCTAGAGGGGCTGGTTTTTGAGAGGATGATATTGGAAGTCGTTGGGGGTGGGAGTGGTGTTGATAATTCCTGTTTTGACGGCAAGGTGTGGTTGTTCCTTTGCAGATTCAGTGACGCTGTTATCTTCTTGCTGCATAGGAGTGAGTAAAATTCATTGAAGTTGATGGTGTTAGTTTTGTCCAAGTCACTATTTTGAAGGCTTGATTGGTCGGTGGAGATCTTTGAGAATATAGAGGATAGTGTATTTGTTATCTTGACGAAAATATATGGCTGCAATGTTGTCGACGAGAGTTTTGATGGTGGAAATATATTGTTGCATGGTATTGTTTCCCATGGAGATGTGGCTAAGCTCGTTTTTTAGCTGAATAACTTGTGATCGGTTTGGGGGCTGAAGTCAATGTTCAAGGGTCGTTTAGATGGCTGAGGTATTTTGGAGGGGTAGAACATATGGAATAATGGTATTTGGGATGGGGGAGAAGGGGCCTGCTACTAGGCCCTGATCAATGAGATTCCAAAGTGTGTTTTCTGGATTTGGGACTAGTTGGCCTGAATAAGATGTTTTGGTGAGGAGGGTATTGTGTAGGGGTGTCGAATCTGGTTTATGTTTGACCCAAAATTGACTCGACCCAAAACTGCTTGACCTAAACCCGAGTCAAATATTAAATGGGCCTTAAAGTTTAACCTGAACCAGACCTGCTTTCAACCCACTTATCTAAAACCGACTCGTATAACCCATTTAACATAAGAAATAACAACTATTCAGATAAAATTTAAGTTATTTGCAATTCAATCGCGAGTCAATTTTGGGTTGGCGGGTTGATCCTGAGTCAATTCAGGTTAACGAGTTAGTTTAGGGTTAATTTTAGGTTAGCGAGTTGACCCAAATCTAACCCAAAAAAATTAAACGGGTTAGAATTCTTAACCTGAGCCTAACCCAAATATTGTTAGGGTCAATTTGAACCTGGATTTTTTGAGTTGAGTGGCTTGTTGGGTCAATTTTTGAGTCCCCTAGTATTGTGCCACCGAGAAAGTAGTCAAAATCATTTGTTGTGAAGAACTTGTTGATTTGAGCTTTCCATAATTGGTAATTATCATTGGTGGGGTTAGTGGAGCAGATAGTCTTAATGTGAGTCATGAGAAATTTCAGTGATGCCGGGATAGAGAGTTCAGCCATCTTGCAGAGGAGGAGGCAGTGTGTTGGCTAGTGTGTGTTGAGGTGAGCCAGAATGATCCACGAGCAGAAGAGAGGAATGCTGTTATGCTTTGGGCTCTAATATCATGTAGAAACAGAGCAGTCCACTGAGAAGGAGCATGTATAAACCTGGTATTATTACTCAAATGATTACATTGTTTTCATGTCTATATATACAGTAGAAATGGTTATGTATGTAAATTGCCTTAGCTGATCATATGGCTGTGAGTGAGATGGATTGTTGTAGATCATGTGATGGAGTGAGGGGTTTATAGGAGCATTCAGAAGATTGAAGATATAGCAGCTGTGGGTTGTTAGGGTATTTCTAATCTATATTCTCTCTTTCGCTCTGTCTTTGTGTTCTAAAGAAGTTGGGTGTTTGCACTATTCCATTTTTTGAGTTTGCTGAAAGCCTCCCATTTCTTAATGCCACGGCTCTATAAAGCACAACAATTTAGTGCTATACATTGTTTGTGCGACTAAATTGTGTTTATTGTCCAGTAATTATTCATTCCGTTTTTTATGCTACTAAACAGTTGGACCCGGTGGAAGTCCTGACGAAAATGGAGAAACTACATTGGATGCACTTCTTATGAATGGAGTAAGTTGATGGACTTCTTACTTATTTGAGTTTCTTGGAAGGAAGAAATAAAAGTTCCTCGTTTTCACATATATGAAAGATGTTGATCCATCTCTTGTTTGCTAAGGATACCTATAGTCAACTATGGAGGTTGGAGCTGTGGCTGCCATGAGATTTGTCAAGGATGGCATAAAAGCTGCCAAATTAGTTATGGAGCACACAGAGCATACTTTGATTGTTGGAGAGATGGCGTCTATTTTTGCTATTTCTATGGGTCTTCATGGACCTTCAAATCTGAGCTCACCTGAATCTCTTGAGAAGTGGATTAGGTGGAAGAGGAACTCTTGCCAACCGAACTTTCGAAAAAACGTCATTCCTACAAATAGCTGTGGTCCATATTATTTGAGCGATGCTGCATCAACTTTAGCTAAGAAGTCTCTTGGTGAATTGGGGAAAAATTTCCCTGAATATAACATGCTTGTAGCTTCAAAGGCAAATTACATTCCCGTTGGTCATCTTTATCATGACACAATATCCATGGCTGTGATAGATAAAGTATAAATTTACTAGATCTGAACGAGTACTCTGTTTGATAAGGCTGTTATCTGTCTTGATGCTTTTTTTTGGTTATGTTTAGGCTGGAAGAATAGCAGTTGGGACATCAACTAATGGCGCTACGTTTAAAATTCCTGGCAGGTAAATTTTGATCCAGTTTTATTATCAGTATGTCAGTAACCACTTCTGCGGCCAAGTAATTCAATTGTGATTCTGTGTTGAGGAGACCTTAAACTCTGTTTCATTTGGACTCATTGAAGTGTTTTTAAAATGTATACGCCACAAATATTTTGCTCTTTTATTCTACAACAAAGAGATTGGGCATGTTTCCAAATTTGAGTTTGTTTCCGAATGTAAGATCTGCCTCATTGCACTTATTCAGTAAATTGACGGAGTAATCCAAGGTTTTCGCTTCCGTGTAGGGTGGGTGATGGACCAATTGCAGGATCTTCTGCGTATGCTGATGATGAAGTTGGTGCTTGTGGTGCAACTGGAGATGGTGACATCATGATGCGGTTCCTTCCATGGTAGGATTCTGATCCTATTCTCTTAGCTATTGTTAATGTCCCTCAAGTTTTTTTGACTTTAGTACTTTGGTTGCTTGTATCTTACTAGCATAAAGATATTGATAGTGGACAATAACTGAATTAAAATAATTTTAGCTTATTTCTATCATTTTTTGTTTTCTCTTACGTATTTAATTTTTTTAAAAAAAATCTCTGCATTACCTGTTTAATTTACTTGGGTATTCTGATTTGCTTAGATGAAAGATGATGCAGACTAGATCAATGCGAACACATTGATCCTCGTAAAGCATGAATTGACCTTGAAATTTGCGCCTTCTTTTCTTATACATATTAATGTGACTGCTTGTATGGAGGTCCATCTTAGAGGCATTCTTAGGCCATGGCTGGAAACTTTCCAAGACACATTTTTGGATTATGATTTAGTGTAAGACTTAAGTGTACACTCTAAAATCACTCATGAGCTGAAATGAATCTTTTCTTTGGACCCTTTTTTAGTAGCTTTGGGATAGATTTAAAGTAACATGGAATTTTAAAGACATTTTAGAGTATGAGTATCATAGATGTCCCTTGGTTAGTTAATGAGGCTGACCAAGGTTTACTTAAGAGATGCAAGGTCAAGGTTTTCAATATGTGCAAATCTCCAAGATTGTTATATCCATGGTTTAGTACTTGAAAATACTCTCACATAAGAACATGATGTTCTCTTTAGATTAAACTTATAAGTTTATAGTTATGGGAATGAATGTAAATAAAATCAACTTGGTCAAGAGATTTGATGATATCATCAACCTAGGTCAATCGTGGTCTTATTCTAATGGTTAGAAGGCCGAAGGTTTGATACGATTTGACGTCAAGATCTACACATTTTTTCCACAGGAATTAGGACAAACACAATTTTTTTTCCGGAACATCAAAACGAAGCAATACAACACAAATATTTATAAGATAAACACATACAATTTGAGAGGTAGGCAATCTCTCTCAATTATTACAATTTGAGAGGTAAGAAATCTCTTCCAAACGCTAAACCTAAGTCTCACCCCAATAATCTCATGCATAAGCCTAACCCAAAACATAATAAGTCTATTTATATCTCACAATAGCAATAATAAAAGACTAAATAGCCCTTAGGCATATAAAAAACAACATTGCCCTTAGGCTAGGGACGGACGTAACAAGGTTTTGTTGTTATGTGAGTCTTATTAGAAGTCATAATATATTTCATTTTTAATATTCCGAGCAGAATACGTAGTGGCGTTTTGAAGGTTACATTCTCACATGTTGGAGTTTTTCCAACTTAGTTGAAGATTTCCTTGGCAGAGACAACAGTGGTCATCTAATGTGAAATTGCATTGCTTGCGACAAGCTTGTTTTGAAGTGCTTGATGGGTTGCGATAGGATCACCAGAGAGGTTGTCGCAAACGCCGTGTTTCAATTATTTGTAGAAGTTTACTTTCTACGAGAGGCCTGAGTTTAACCAACCCTAATTATTATTGCAATTAATTGGGTGAGTTGACCCCTTTCACTATTTTTTGTGGACTTAGACCCTTGTGTTTCAATTTGGTCTATTATTTTGATTTTTATGTTGATGCAAAATCTAAGTTTATGACTGTTTTTAGATACATTTGAAATTTAAAATTCAAATTTTTTATTTTTGAAAAGATCTGCGATTGAAGCAATGTGGGTTGATGTTGCTCGTTTCGATTTCCTTATCCTTTACTCTTTCTATAAATTAATCAGTAGGGATTGTGGATGAAATTTCCTCATGATCTCTTGAGCTATCAAGATTGTCCTTTCAACTTATTTTTTCGCATCCTTTCTAGGAGCTCGTTCATTTTTTTTTTCCATCATGGCCTCTCCTCTCCTCTCCTTCAATGTAGTAGTCATTCACCAATAACTCAATGGCAGAAACTTACATATTGTCAACGAAGAACTTGAAACTGATATAGACAAAGTGTCTTGAACAACGGGCACCAATTGCAGGCACGAAGGATGGCAAGTTGCTTGACACAACATTTGCGGATGAGCTATGCTACTACCAGGATCAATTCCATCATAGGCTGCACTTCCCCCTTTCCTAGGAGCTTTTACAGAGTTGTTCCCGTGCAAGTGACACCAAACTCATTTTCAAGCATCATGTTGTCAATATTATATATGAAGAAGAAGAAGATTTCATGGTTGCTCAACTTTTTTAGATAAAGGCTTACAAGGATGGTTTCATCATGTTCTTTTACAATGTTTGACTGATAGGGCTGGATGGCAATATCACTTCTTGGAAGATTTGCTAAGACATAGTCAAGTGCAAGGATTAGTAACGGATTTCCCCCAACCACCAAGTTTTCTAAGGATAGATTATGAGTAGCAACATTTCTAGCTATTGAACGAAGCTGAGCTTAAGGTGAAGAACTACATCAATTATTAGGTGCTTCAGAGAATATTAGATTGAATGTGCATTCACTTGTTTTTTTTTACTTTATATTTATCATGCGCCGAGTTCCTCTTTTTCATTTATGATATCACCCCTTTGAATTACGCAGCTTTCCTCTAAGAAGGTGGCCAAGGATGTGGTGGTGATTCTAGATGAGAAAGGAGCGGAAGGAGGAGTTGTTGGAGAAGAGGGTTCAGAAGAGGTCTCCATGGTCACACCCATCTCTACCATGTGTTTTTTTGTTATAGGGTACTTCTGGACATCTTTGATACTCAACAAGAGATAGATGTAGAGGAGGAAGAGAAAGTGTTGATCTCTGCTGATGTCGATAAGGATGGCGCTAGAGAGTAGTGAATTGCCAAGTTCTATGTTGGAGAGAAGGAAGCCAAGGGAAATACTATTGGTGACTTAATTGTTAAACCTAGGAATGCGTGGTGCAAGTCTAATGGATTGTTGAAGTGGAGGTGGTGCCTCCTTCCTGTCATCCACCACTTTGCCCAAGCCAAGGACCTATCCGAATATGCAAAGAGGCAGCTAGAAAGCAGGCTAAGGATTCCGTCCTACATGTTCCTCCCGAAATAGTTAATGTGAAAGGGGTGAGCCTCTTTCCAAGAGGGCTAGGATAGTGACCGATTAATGCAGTGTATGCAAGTGCACATGCCGTTTTGAGCAATAAAATAGTTAATGGGATATTGCTTCCATGAGGATTGAGTACTAAATCCAATGAAATTAATTACTAGTTTTTATAAACCTAAGCTTTATCCAATAAGTTTAGCCAAAGATGAAGGTTTGAAATGGTAAAATGTTGTTTTTTCAAATAAAAACTTTCTCTGAATTTATGAATACCTAAACATTTTACACAGTTGTATCTTCTATTCTCTTATTGATAGTTGTTAATCGAGGAGATACATTTCTCTTAATATCCGTTGAGAGTTAAAAGACATTGAACTTTCATATTATTGATTAGGGATATTCCTATCCAAATTAGTGCAAAAGATTCTGTGAATTCTATTCCATAAAAGATTGCAATTTCAAAAAAATTATATGTTATGTTTCTAGAAAATTGAATGTCAATCATACCGTTCTATTAGATTTCAGTCAAAATTTCTAAATGTGTTCAACCAAACAATAATTAAATTAAGTTCAGGATTGAACAAAGCAACATATTTCATTTGAATGCAATCAAAACACATAAAATATACAATGCTTTAATGGGACACACAATTTCAGAGAACCTTAGTTCCTAAACACTGCATTAGAAATAATCACAAAAATAAGAGTGCAGTCACAAGAATTATGCTAGAGTCAGGAGCATAAATCCTGATTAAGGCTTTGAAGATCAAACATGCTCTTGCTTTCCTTTATTTACATAACTTTACTCTACTAGTCTCACTCATTCTCACTTTTCACACACCCAATTGGCAATATGTCACTCATATGATTTACACGCTCTAATATACTGCATACTACCCAAAACTATTCCAATTTGCTTTATAACTCCCCAGGGTTAACTCCAAAATCGAATTAAAACAGTTCTGTCAATCCGTCGTGCCATGACACTACGAACTAGCATTGTAGTGTTCCAAAGTGGCAATGCAGCACCGCCCTCTTGGGTTTCAGACTTTTTTTTTTTATGGATTAGCACAGCGGTGTTGCCAAGGTAGCATTGCTACAGTACTTCACTACTGAGATTTATTACTGTAATATTGCTATTGTAACTTCAACAATTTCTTTTCTTTTTCATTTCAATGTTCCTTCAGTTCATCATTGCTGAATTTGCACTATTATTTTTGCATCCAGGTTTGAAATCTTCATCTCACATAAGGTGGACATTTCTTACAAAAAAATAATATTTTTAGTGACAATAATCTATATATTTCTATCATTTCAATTAAAAATTCACTCCTAATTTAATTTAACTCACTAAATTGAGAGAGCACAAGTGACTTATGACAACAATAGAACAACCCTCAATAGCAAAGGGTGAACAGTCTATCTTAACCGTTAGGCCATCCTTCCCAACAAAGAAGATAATTTAATTCAGTGGCTTTATAAAGGTTGACCTTATTAACAGGAGGACCCCTACTAAATTGTCATCATTGCTGGCATTCGATCTTACTCATGTGATTAGGTTGCAGTCTTTATTGGATGAAGATCGATTTCGATAAATAAAAGTAATCACAAAAGACGAGGACTGCATGCGAGTTCTTTGACACCCTTACTCAATCGATAAATGAATGTTTTAAGGCCAAGTTCGTTGGTGGAATTCAATTCTACCTAAATATATTGATGAAGCGTAAGTTGCTAGTTGAGTACATGGAAATGATGATGTTTCAAGATCCTGCTTAGGAGTCGAGCTCAACGGAGATGAGGATGGTGGTGGTGAGAATAATTTCAAGCTCCGTACTTACAAATTTTTAAATGTAATGAAAGGAAAATTTTCTTTCTTAGCTTTGCATTATGGAGAACCTTTTATATAAAAAAATTGAAACCTAAATAGGTGCAAATTAAGTAATTGATCATCAGGACGATAGATGATATGCGTTTCAAATTGTCAAATTGCTTGATGACTCAAGTCGATTAATTGATGAAGAGAAAGATTTGTTAGAAATACGCATTTGAGGTGAATGTTTTCTTTCTCAGGATACTTGAATGTTCTTTTCAATGGAGTCTTTTCCCTTAGTGGTTTTACGCATTTGTGCAGGAAGTCCTTGGGATTAATCGGGTAGAACCGACTCTCTCAACACTCAATGTGAATTTTGTCGTAAAGGGGGAGTCAAGCTCCAGGACCAGACCTATTTTCATAAGCACATATTGAGGAGTAGAGGCGAATTGCTTGAGTCGAATTGCCATGAACACATTCCCGAAAATAATAAGTGAAAATGTGAGTTATATTGAAAGGAAAATTCAAGGATGTTTTCAGTGTTTTTTATTCAACATTGTTTATGCGTTATAGGAAGATCTAAACATACTTGGACAATAAAAAATGATTTTAATTTATTAGAATTAAATAAAAATATGACACTCAATAAAACACAATGGAGAAAAATAATTCATGTAGCCGGCCACATCTAATGGGATGAAGGCTTGTTGTTGTTGTTTGTGCGTTATATGTTTTTTTTATTTTTGGAAAGGCCTTTCAAGTAAAACGAGATGAGCGACTTGTTGTTAAGTGCCATTATTCATCTTCTTGGGTGTCTTTTGTTCTCCTTCAAGGAATTATCCTTGGGGCTTTGTAGGTACACTTGCAAGACTCCTTCCTAAGGCCGTTGGCTCTCTCTTAAGAAAAAGTCTTGCTATGTTTAAACTCAGCCTCATGCCAAGGTGGCAAAAAGTAGTTTGCCCATCTCTACTTTTATTAATAGCTTTTTAGAAATGAACTTTTCTAACATTTGATGGTGTGTGACTAGAAGTTGGCGAATTTTAAATTTCTATTATGTGTATCAGTATAACCCGTTAATATTTTTAACTCTAATTCCCTGTGTTCTCTTTTATTGGTTTAGACTTATAAATACTTTATTCTAAATACAAATGAGGAATATGAACAAAGTGAAAAAGAAGAGTTTAAAGGATAAAATTTCTTTAGATCGTCATTAGTCTAAGTTCATTGGACTTCTTGACCATTGTATGTTTGTAAGTTATAGATGGTAGGCAGTAGGCATACGCACCAACTTGTTCCATGGTAATGTATGACCTCTTCCACGCCGATTCAACCTGGCTAGGATGATGATTCGGGTTGCCACATTTGTTTTCTTTAAAACCAGGTTTTTGAGTTGCAGAATTTGCTCTTTGACATGTGAATTGTAATGTCTTGTTACTAGTCTCATTATCTCTTCTTGGATTAAGGAAGATGTATTCGCCATTCTTCAGATAAATCAGGCACGACTTGCATAGGTTGAGTTCATTGGCGGATAATTTTCTTTCATCCTCAACTTTTGACCCCCTCTTTATTGATTTTGAGATGTCTTTAACTATCTTACATGATTGAAAATAATTTAATAATAAAAGATACATAAAAACATGTGGTTCTATAGTGCATCCTGTAGCTGTGTGAAATGTCAAGTTACGAGTAATAAGGTTGTTGACTTGGTTGTTGATTGTGCCTTATTCAATTATTAGGCGAGCTGTTAGGTTTTCTTGGCCAAGCTGCGAGCTGTGAATGTCTAGGACAAACTGACTAGTGCGCAACTCTTGGTTATAGTTAGGTGAATCTGTTCTGAATCCATTTGCAAGTTACCCAGTGAGTAATGGGTCATATTGAGTTACTGGTTATTTGAATGTATACTAGGAATGCAAAGTGTACATATGAACTAACTGTGCCAAATTTTTCATGGACGTAGATCACACTCCAGTGCTTTTGCTTAAATCTTCATTAGACGAGTTGTTGCAGCCATTCAGTGGAGTTGATGCAATACGAGACATATTGAGATTATTTTGAATTATTTCAAGTATTTTTTATTTTAACTGGTTTTTTTTCTTGAAAAACATTTTTAATTTTTTTTTATTTATGATTATTCTATTAATAGATAATATCTCTTTGTTAGTCTTTGTCTAGTTCTAAATTATCGAAAAATTATGCATTTATTTTATTGTGAATTGAAGCTTGAATAACAAATTTTTTTTTTCCTTCTAAATTCTCCAGTATCTTCTCTTTGTATCTCTCTCTCCCTTGGAGTTGCAAGGACAAAATAAACTCCGAAGCCTACTCCGATCATGAACCTTCTCATACTTGATTTATTCATGCATATTTTCTCTCCTACTTCTCTGTTTATTTCCAATCAAGCATTGAATTAATTGAGAAAACCAACATTCGAAAGTCAATTTGAGGAAGTAAAAATAAAAAAATTTGAGTTCATCATCAATCATCAATTATCTCCTCTGCTCTTACTTCCATACGATGAGGGCATCCATTGCTTTCCATAGTAAGAAGACTTAATGATCATAATTTCTTCTCCATATTTAGAAGTTCCAAAATTTTTTGTGGCATTTACATACGTACCGCCCAGTTCGTATGTATTTATATATTTAACTCCTAAACTTTACTCTTACATTTATATCACCTAAATCTTTCATATCATTAAAAATACTACTACTAAAAAGTGAAGTACAACTTTACATGCATAGGTAGAGTGCCTTATATGTGAAAACTGAAGTTTAGTTGTTAGATGTGTAAATACGTAAGAATTGGGTGGTATGTATGCATATCTTCCTATTTTTATTTATCACAAAAACTTTTAATACTGAAACGATCATATATTTCGGCAGAGGCTTTATTAAACCTCCTAATATATGTACCCTAGTACTTGCTTCACTATTCTCTGATTCAGCCTCTCTGGCAGTTTAGATACTGCTATATAACTCCTTACTAAAAAAACATCATACGCCCAAAAACACCTACTTATTGACATAATGTGCTAAATATGCATGTAGAGATCTTGTGGGACTGCAGCATTACTCGGTTAGTCTTTAAAAGCTGTTTAATGATTTGGGCATAATGTCATTGAATTATATTTAATTATACTTCTACATCTCAATCTGGCTCCAGTTACCAAGTTGTAGAGAGCATGAGACGGGGGATGGAGCCTAAGCTTGCAGCAGCTGATGCAATATCGCGAATTGCGCGGAAATATCCAAATTTTGTTGGAGCTATCTTTGCTCTCAACAAGAATGGTGTGCATGCTGGGGCTTGCCATGGATGGACATTTCAATACTCTGTAAGAACATCCAGCATGAAAGAAGTTGAAGTCTTCACCGTGGAACCCTAGATTTGTTGAATTTACTTTTGAGATCATTTTAATATAAGTTTCAGTTGATTTTTTACATATTGGATTCACAAATGCAAACTAACGGTTTTGAAACTCAACTCAATTAATTATGGTCGAAGCATCATTGTTTTTATAACTCTATTGCTTCTTTTTGGTAGGAACTTAATGAGGTTCCAGTTTAGTTTCAACACTGATATCATTAATTTTAGTGCTCTAGTGCTTGACATCACCATGAATACTTGTTCATATGCACAAGTTCAAATCAAATGATTATTTTACATGTCTCATATTGTTTAAACCTAAAGCAATTTTTATTTTTTGTATTTTAATTAGGAATGAGTATTGATGAATGGCACTATTAAAAGAACAACTTAAGAGAATAGTTTTGCGAAGGTGGAAAAAGTATATATCTTATTCATTTTTGTTGTAGGATTTAATACTGGTAGTTACAGGGCCATCAGTGGCAAGTGTTTATGAGGAGAATAAATGTTGTCACTGTTTTGGTAGATGCAAGAGAAGATTATAAGGAGTATTTGGTGGCATCATAGGAGAGTTTGGTGAGTGGTTTATGGAGATTATTTTTTTATCCCAACTCTTCTGTTATATGGGGCAGAAACAAAAGTGTTGAGAAATTTAGGGCAATTCTCCACCTTGACGAATATCCAGCCCCTTAGGAGAAAAAGTCTTCACATTGCGAATATTCAGCCCCTTAGGAGAAAAATCTCTATATTACGAATATCCAGCTCTTGAGGAGAAAAATTTCCACCTTTCAAGAAACTGACATTTCTCCGTTTCTCCATAATGCAACTCTCACACATGCTGAAATCAACTGAATTCAGTTCTGGTAGCTTCCCTCTGGACTGAAGTTCCTTCATACCCCTCTGACTCATGTGGCCAAGTCTGCAATGCCACAAGTCTGTTGTGCTCTCTGTAACAATAGTATCAACACTGTTAATTAAACATGTAGTCATATATAACGTAACTCTTTTCTTACCACGAGCCAATTCCAGAGCTCTTTTAGTAACCTTCCAGGTACTATCTGAGAACACTACTGAATGTCCACACTCATCAAGCTGCCCAACATAAATGAGGTTCTTCTTCAGTTTATGAATGCGTCCGACCTTTTGCAGAGTCCACTTGTTCTTTTTTGGAAGTACAATGTCAATATCTCCCATTCCTACCACGTTCAGAGCATCTCCATCTGCCAGATATATTTTCCTAAAATCACCTGCAACATAATTCCGCATCAATTCCTGATGGAAAGTTGTATGGAAAGAAATCCTTGAATCCAGTATCCAGTCATCAACAAAACTATGAACTGTCAGCAGTAGTGCATCCTGTGTTTCTTCAGTTACCACATTTGTACTGTCATTCTCCATCTTCCTAGGATTCCTGCAGTTCCTCTTTATGGGGCCAATTTTGCCACAATTCCAGTAAGTTACTTGTTTACCGGGCCTTGACTTGCTCTTGCTTCTGTTCTTTGATTTTGATCTTGCCCTGTTTAAGTTCCTACAATGTGATCTCCCTCTGGAATCAACGTTTAATGCTGAACTCGAACCTGAGATCTCGCCATAATCTTTCCTGCGCACCTCCTTAGTCAAAATCAAATCACGAATATCTTTATATTTCAATTTTGATTTACCTGCAGAATTACTGACAGTCATACTCATAGCTTCCCAGCTATTTGACAATAAAGCCAACAAGATCAGTGCACGTATCTCATCATCAAATTCAATTTTCACAGACGATAATTGATTTGTGATAGTATTGAAATTATTCAGGTGTAGTACAACAGACGTACATTCCGCCATCTTCAAATTGAATAACTTCTTCATCAGATATACCTTGTTATTTGCCGATGACTTTCATACATACCTGATAGGGTTGTCATAAGATTTGCAGTTGTCTTCTCCTTGACGACGTTATGTGCAACAGATCTCGATAGAGTCAATCGAATAACCCCCAGAACTTGTCGATCCAACAGATTCCATTCAGCCTCATCCATTCTTTCATGTCTTTTCCCTAACAACGGAAGATGAAGTTTCTTCCCATAGAGATAATTATCTATCTGCATCCTCCAATAACCAAAATTTGTGATATCAAATTTCTCGATCCCTGAAACCTTCACTTCATCTGCAACCATTGACTCTGATACCAATTGTAGTGGTATATTGAAATAAAATAGAACGATCGATGACGAAATGAAAAATAGAACAAGAAAATTCACACCAGAAAAGAACACACGGATTTACGTGGTTCGACAAATTACCTACATCCACGGAGTTGCAGAGGATTTTAGTAATTTAGGAATTTACACCGTTTGATCACGTCGACAATTACATGATCTCTCACTTGTTCTCTCTGTTTATGTTGAGATTCACCAAAGAGCAAGAACACCAAAGAAGAAGAAATACGTACAAGAGGAAAAACCTATTTCTCTTCTGTTGCACGCCATCAAGAAGAAATCAAGAAGAACACCTTCTTCATCCACTGCCTTCTTACTTCTGCCAAGAACGCAAAAGCAACTAAGAAAGAGCACCTTGCGAAAACATCTTTTTCAGCCTTTTGCTTTCCGTAAGCCTCAAGAAGAATCCAAGCAGGGAGTCACCTTTCCTGTTTCTGTGAACTGAAGATTTCTGTGAACTGAAGGAACAGAAGCAAGCGTGACGGGAGGAGTAACCTTGTGTTTTCGAGAGAGACGGGGGAGGGCTTCTGTTTCGCGCAAGACGGGAGAAAACAATGCGAAACTGAAGAGGCGGAAGTGGGGGGAGAGAGAGGCTGGAGCGAGTAACAGGTATTTTTTTTTCATTTTTTTGAACCGGGCTCCACCTCAAGAAGAAGTGACCTTTTTTTTTTCTTTTGAAATCTGATATTGGTTTATTTGTTCATCATGGATACTTGTTTGTTTAGCCCTAGCATTGTAAATTCTTATCTCTACTCTCTTGGATCAAATAGTTGGTAAGGTGCATTTACATATAGACCACTGTATTTACATATCTCATGCCTAAACTTTAATTTTTTACAGTTATGCCACCCAAATATTTCATATGACATAACAAAAATAACACTATTTTTAACTTTTGGAAAGTGAAATAGCACATTAAAAATGCACATTTTCATGTATAAATAAGTGATATATATATATCATTTTCTCCTAATACTAATTTCTCTTCGTGATGTAAGAATGCAGTCATGTAAATCATAGTTGCGATACACAATTCTAAAGGCAGTTGAAGACCTTGAACTTGCATTTTTTGAGAAATTGAAATTTAATAAATAAAATGAGCTTATGTTAAAGTTACAATGTGAAATTTAAAGAAGATACAAATGATACTTATTTCCTGATTGCTCCTCAGCCCACAATTAAAGCATATTTTGTTTTATTCTGTGTTTCTTTTAAAATCAAATGCCCTATAAACCAGGCGGCCTGTGACAGGCACCACCCTCCTCTGTCTAATTTTTTAACGTTAATTGAAAATTAACGAAAGTAGATAATTTATCAAAATTCAATTATAAAAATGTCCAATCGGACAACCATCTCATCCCTATCTTCTATTTAAGTCGATGAACCTTCGTCTTTCTGCAAATAATTTTTTTTTTCCTGAAATATTTGTAAAGGATAAAATACAAATTATTTTAATAAAATATTTTTAGTCTTCACGGAATTTTTATATTCAGCGAAAATATCGGTCTTTTAGAGGAAAAATTATTCCATACGGACAACGTACTCGACCGTTGATCAGAGCAAATGTGTATTTCGGTGGGCCTCATTTTTTAAATTTTTTTTTAAAAAAAAAATCTGATCGACGATCAGCGCATGCATCTTTACATACACTGTCTATATGAAATAATTTTTTCTTTAAACTCGAAAATCGCATTACTCGCAATTTAAAGGGTTGTTTGTGAGAAATAAAAAAATGGGTAAATATTCTCATCAAATCATGAAAAAAAAAATTATTTTTTCTTAAAATGTATAGTGCATAAAAAAAAATTATTATGCAAATCATCTTATCTTATAGGTGGAGTGCCTAGGCATTCAACCAACAAATTTTAGATTCAATTTTGCATATACATTATTCATGCATTTAAGATTAAATTTGTTCAAATATATCAAAAAAAAGTCCGATTAAAATAAATTTTATAGTTGTAGAACCCAAGATGCATTTAACTTAAAACCTATCAATTAACTTTTTTTTATTCTTTATTATTTGAACTATTTATTTTAATTTTATTGATGAAATTTATGATTTAGTACAACTAATCATTTAAGAGATTAACTAATAATTTTTTTTGTCACAACTCTTATATTCTTAAACTTCTTCTAAACTTCAACAGAAAATATTTATTTCTTTTTTATTCTTAACTGCTCCAAGTCTTCACTGAAATTAGGTCAACAAGAGTCCTAAGGGTCTGTTTGGGGTAGCTGCAGTTCATTAGTACGCTGCTGAAAAATAACTAATCCAGTTAAGCTGCTGATCAACAGCTAATCTGGATAAGCTGGTTGACTGTTTGATTTGTACTGTTAGAAAATAATTATTTTGTAGCTATTTCTAGATAAATGATTTTTCTGCCCCTATGCAATAATGTTGTTTGCAATAGAACTGTCATAGTAATATATTTGATATTTGAGAAGTAAAAAACTATTCCAGAACAATAGAAAAAAATAAGATACACACACACATAATAGTGAGTATCAATTGTACTAAAAAACTATTAAAATTACAATTAAAAATATGATAATATTAATTTTAAAATCCAGATGGCGTATCTCACGAGCTACATCGTCCTCTAGAGATATCATCCAACCCTGATCACTATCGACAGTGGAATTTTTCGGATTATCTGCCCACCGGAAGAAGTCACACTTCGCCAGACTGTTTGTCCACCGCTGACACATGTTGAACTTTCTCCCATAGCTATGTGCTCGATGTGACATTAGTGGGAAAGTCAGTAGTTCATAGTGGCAGAGCACTTGTCGGGAGGTCCATAAATCCTGGAGTTCATCTTTCTTGAATGATTCAAAAAACAATTCATTAGTAATAACAGAAGTTGAAATTACTAAGAGAAATAATTAATTACATTTTTTGCAGGCGTGAGATCTCAGAGAACTCGGTATA